TATGAAGTAAAAGTGAAAAATCCCTCTCTGTGCAAGAAAGACAAAGGAGAGCCTTTGAATAGGTAGAATGGGAAGCCTAGTCCCGAGCCGCCTAGGGTGGGCTCAAATACACGGAGCCGTATGAAGTAAAAGTGAAAAATCCCTCTCTGTGCAAGAAAGACAAAGGAGAGCCTTTGAATAAGTAGAATGGGAAGCCTAGTCCCGAGCCGCCTAGGGTGGGCTCAAATACACGGAGCCTCTATTTGTAAGGAAGACACTGACAGTTTGGAGAAATGGCTACAGCTCACTCTACAAGCCATCCATGAGGGAAAAGCCTTGCTATGTAAGTTCGTGATGCAAATAAGATTGTTGGCTTTATTTTCTAAGTGCTTTCTAAAAAAGAAAACTTTTCAAGTACTTTAGAAATAGCCACTTACATTGAAAGCACTTATAATATAATTTTTAGTGCTTAGCAAAGTTAATTGCATATCATTTTTAGCTGCATATTGAGGCAACAGTTTCCCAATTATTAACTGTATTTAAAAGCCATATACTTCAAGCAAATGTGTAATTCACTTTCCCGTGGATCAATCCAGACTAGATTGATCGTGTATGGTTTTCATGGTTCTTTAAAATTCTTTCTCTGTGATTTGCACCTCTGTCCTATTTGCAGATGATCCACTTTCTGAAAAGAATCTGCTCTTCCTTAACTGTCTGGGTCCGTGGAGTAGTAATGCTCAGCTAGTGATGGAAGGGGCTGAGGACAGAATTCACCACCTTTACTCCCACACTGTCCCTTCTGGTGTTCCCAGTCTCAGCCATCGTCTCCCCAATAGCCTCTCATGCCAGAAACCAAAGTGTCACCCTGGTAGTCTCCTTTTTCCCTCCTTTTTGCTAACACCCCAGTCCCACCTCAATAAACCAACATAAACAGTGCATTCCTCATCTTCACATCCTTCCTTCCACCTACCCCAGAGCCTGTACATGGGAAGTTTTCTGCAGGTCAGGGCTGCTTTTATTTTTGGCCAGCTTCATGCATTAAGAGAAGCCACTGAAGAGAGCCTCATACTGAGCTCATTTGCAACCCCAGTGCTATTTGAAGGCATTTGCTATGAACTTCCCATTGATTTCAGGGATTTTTTTTTTTAAAGAAACAGCTTTTGATCATTTTATTTCTACACCTTTGGCCTTCTCTTCCTATTCTCAATTCAGCAAAGGTTAGGTTTATAGGACACCTGCCCTGTCTAGGCCCTCTGGTCCTCTAAAATGAACAAGCTTCACCCCACCCTCAGGTGGCTCACAGCCCAGGAGAAGGTGAAGTGGGAGGGGAGACAGGTAGCTGCAAACACAAAGCAGCAGGCATACCGGCTCCCTGATTTTCTACAAGACTCGGGAAATCAGTCTTATTTCCAGGAAGATTGTTGCTGAAGGACAGGGAGTCTATTTTAATTGGTAACATCTTCTCTTGCTGTGTGACAAAGAATAGCCTCTGTGAGCTACTGCGGGGGCGGGGGGGGGCACCATGTTGATGAAGGACTTCCCACGCACTCTAGACACCGCCTCAGGTTTCAGCCAGGCTGGCAAAAGCCCGTGTTCTGGGCTCCTGCTGCCAACCGGGCCACCATAACAACAAGAGCGTTGTAGTTTTTACTACACTGTACTTGGTTGTCTTGGTCTAATCCATACGGAGGAACCACAGTTTTTAAAATCCCTTTGAATCTCATCAAATAAAGATGTTACTAATATTATTTATTACATTGTGCAATGGGCTCTGTAAGATAAGCCCTAGTGAAGATTTATTTCCGTATTTAGTATACAGGAATAGTCTCACATGCTGAGTTTTTGGTTCTTTTTTTAATAAAATGGACACCAAATCACTTGACTTATTGCATTTGCTGCTAGAAAGTTTAGTGCCAAATTGTAGAATGCCATGATACGTGTTTTTTGTTCACCTCTTTTCTGACTTTCTTTTTTTTCCTCTCCTTTCTGTGTCTCATTTGGGGTTTATTTATCCTTGTAAAGTTACTTGAAGTCCTCTGAGCAAAGCCAGGGTGGCTGTGAGAAGAGAAGCCTGCCTGCAGCTCACGGCCCCCTTGGATATGGCCCTGCGAGAGGTCTAATGGGGCTGTGTCTCGGTTCTCTGCAGCAGCCTTGGGGATGGGATTACTCAGGCTCCTCCAATCTGGGAGAGCTGAAGCTCCTGCTGGAGGAGGCAGTCATGCTGCGACGCCTCAAATCCGACGTCCTTTCCCAGCTGCCGGCCAAGCAGCGCAAGATGGTGGTGGTTGCTCCAGGACGGATCAATGCCAAGGCCAGAGCTGCCCTGGACGCCGCAGCCAAGGAAATGACCACCAAGGACAAAAGTGTGAGCCCGGGGCCGGAGATGGGGATTTGGAAACAGGCGTGTCCACAGGTGTTCCTCGTACATGGGGCCCTGCGGAAACAACCCAGAGTACTCTGAGCATGCTTTGCCATAACCTCTTTCCTCTTCCCTGGACAAGAGTAGTGAGCCCATTTTATTTCTCAGCCTACCTAGTATGTTTTGAAAATCTCTTATTAATCCACAGTTTTCACTTGTCTAGATTGCTATTGACAGATGGCCATAAAAATAACCAAGGGCAATGGCAGAATGGTGATATATATTCTGAATCCCTCAAAGAAAGTCGAAATTACATTTAGTGTATTTTGAGAATGCCTTAGTCTAGTAACAGTTGTTAAAAAAAATTAGTCCTATATATATTTGATACATATATTAGCCCTCTAGCCATACCATGTCATTTGTATTAGTCAAGATTGAAATTTGTATAGTTTTCAAACCCTCTTAACCTTTTGAATCCTTATTATTATAGCTATTCATGGTCGGCTGGAAGTTGGCATCCCCATTTTACGGAGAGGGAAGCTGAGATTACGGTTTTTCTAGAGTCTCATGGCTACTCCTTGGCAGAGCTGAGGCAAGAACCAAGGCTCTTGGCCTTATAGTTTAAGGTTCTTTCCACTACAGTGGTTTTATCTTTTCAAAACACTTTTATTTCTTGCCTCTTTTTAGTGTCATACTGTGCCAAGTGCAATAAAGTAATCTACATCAGCTCCATTTCCATCCTTTTGGGATAAAGCCTTCTAATTTTCATTGCCAAGAAAATAACAGTCATTTATATTTTTTGACCTTATCATAAAGCATTATCTGGGTTTGACATTACCCCATATAAAGAAACTTAGATATAGATGAGATCTCAGCCTCGTTTGTTTTTGTAATTCCAGAGGGGGATTACAAAACAGATAAGAATGACAAGAGCAGTATGCGTGATGTTTTTAATGTTATTTTACCACGTGATGAGCAAGACTAGCTGGTAACTTTTAAGAAACAGGGTAAGATAAAGGATGCACTGGTAAATTGTTGAACTGTATTTAATTTTTGCTATGTAATATGTAACACATGTTATTTTACCACGTGATGAGCAAGACTAGCTGGTAACTTTTAAGAAACAGGGTAAGATAGAGGATGCACTGGTAAATTGTTGAGCTGTATTTAATTTTTGCTATGTAATATGTAACAATCTGGATGGTCTGCAGGAAATGAACAGGTATAATCTCTTTGGCGAAAGTTCAACAACATTGACGTGGATGCATGGACTAGTGTTCTCAAATTATATCTTAGTGGAACCATGAGCAGAACCAGGATACTCTGTTGCTAAAATCAACCTTGGTGGTCATTGACTAAAAATTCAATGAGTGAAAATGTTTTGTCAATTTTAAGTTTTTCCTTATCACTTTTTCTTAAACCTTTAATGTCTGCTGACTTTTATCTGCTAGTGAATGTCACCAGACAAAAAAACCAATGAACAAGTACAGCAAATATTAATGGGAAAAAAATTCAGACATGCGATATTTTTAGATGCAGAGATCTGAATATTTATAAAATGCTGTTTTTTTGCTAGTAAAGTTGTTTCTCGTATGTGTGAGATGGAAGTTAGTCTATCAGTGTTTTGTGGGATGCTCCAGATAACACCCTCACCTGTACCTGGGCCACCTCCTGAACCAATCTGAAATCAGCCAATGTAGACAACTGAAAAAGCAATTTGTGGGCATGTGAATTGAGGAGGAAAGTCACATTTACTGGCCAAGAGGCAACCGTGAATTGTGTACTGTGGCCAAAAAGAAAAAGGAAGAAAGAAATAGAAGCAGCAAGAATTCTGTTCTTAGTGCAGAAAAGTGTGAAAGCATTTTTTAAACTTGTACCAACTTGCACAGTTCTTCAACTTAGGTAAGTGCCTCTTTCCAGAGAAAATTTTAGATGTATCCTGAAAGTTTGATTTCTGAGTTTATTGAAATTGTTAGGAAATTGATTAGGATGAGCCATAGAAATTAGGAATGTTGAGTATTTTATAACTTTAGGTAGCTAAAATCCCTCAAATTTTTAAGGATATTTTGGTATTTTCTTATCTAGAGGGAGCCAGGACCTGCTTTGATGATCGAAAAGTACATAAGTGTAGTGCCAATTGCCCAGAGTCCTACCTGTTGTGTGATTATCATCTTTGCTTCCTAAATACCCCAGAGTCTTACTGTTTTGTAGATTATGATGATGAAGCCTAAGTTGCAGTGAAATTCTTCAGGAATCCAGCTGAGAAAGAGCTCAGAGCTCTTCTCAGTCCCACACTTGAGAGTTGCTTTCTGCTGCCTTGGAGTCCTAGGAAAATTAAGAGTTTATCTCTGAAAGATAGAAATTGAGTTGGTACAGATTACCTTTGGGGTGATGCCAAAGCCAGATACTAGATCTTTTAGATAATAAGATAATAAGGCTTTGAGAACTTGGTGCTCTTTTGTGTTCTTTAATGTAAATTCATTTTTGTAATGGAAAATCCAAGTAGAAAATGAATATTTCACGTGCTTTGTGCTCTGGACCATGAAGACCTTTCTACTTCTAAAGCCATTTGGTGCATATACTACACCTTGGATCTCATCAGGAGCATTGTTCTAACTTACTTCAGGAAGGGGAGCCAGCATCAACTGGGGGTCAGACTGGATGACCATTGACATCCATTCCAAACATGATCGGCTCTGAAATCCTGAGTTGAAAGTTAAAATGGAGAATTATGTTTTCATGGTTTTAGTCAAATAAAGAGGCCTTATGAATCTGTAGGAAGCCCCCCACCCCACACACACACACACACACACACACACACACACACACACACACACACACAC